TACTGGCTTTCCATTAGTGCTGGGAAATTTGCTCAGTGCACAATGTTTCTAGAAGACAATGCTTGCTTTTTCTTCATTCCATGTATGTTTTAGACTCAGAAGAGAAAAATTATTAGGAGGCAATGGGAACAATCTATACTTAGCTCCAGTGGCGGTTCTGTCTGTTTCTTCTGGACTGTTGAAATCATAGTCAACTTTGATGAATATACTATGCAGTGAGGATGAGCAAAGTAGGCGGGTCTCAGGGGCAGGATCTTGATCTCACCAAAATATATGAATTTCCTTCTGCTTTTGCAATAAGGGCACAGGTCTCATTTCATCTTCTGTTCAAATCCTCTTCATCTACTCTCCACATACAGATGTTGCAGAGAAATAGCCTGGGCATCGTTCATGCAAGCAGACCTATGAGAGGGCTAACTAAAGCATCTTTGTGACTTTAGGAAACATTCTCTGCAGCTGGTTGAGAAAAAGACAAGTCAGCTTTAAGCAGCTAATAATTAAAAAAATTTGATCAACTTACCAAGAAAAGGAGTCACCTGTACTTTAATTTGGAAGAAAATGTTTATACTTGAAAACAAACCATGTATGTAAAGTGGGGAAGGGGAGCTGAATTCCCAGTTATTTTGACAGAGCACAGGAAATAGTATCTTATCCAGAAATATGTTCCAATTCACAAAGTCCTTTCAGTGGCAACTGCAGGTTTAATAGAGCAGCCAGCCTACTATTGGCAAGAATTTTCTGGATCTAAACAGACCAAGAAGAAATAATAGGGGAAGAAAAAGTCTTTATATCCAGTATCTCTCTCTGCTTAAGTTATGTTTTGCGCTTTGGCTTATACTTAGAAGAATGGCTGGTGATAATCTTAGCTGCCATGCTTCCTGGTATTGACATTTTGGATAAACCCCAAGTTAGTCAAGCCCAATCATATAAGCCATCATGAACTGCAGAAAACAAGAAATTTAGAAAGCCTAAATTGACTAGCTTTAATAGGAACGGAAAGAGAAGGAAATCTTGAGATTGATGCATGATCCCAAATGTTCTGTCCAATTCTGGCAGTAATTTTTGCTATAGAAAGATTCTTTCCTGTCTGTGCTGAGTTTTGAGTACTGAAATGCTGAAAGAAGGATAAGAAAACATCTGGCATCAAAAGAGCTGCAGCACAGAGCTGGGCAAATCCAGGAGTGTTGACAAAGGTCAAACTATGACAGCTTATACACTGAGGCATGTAACATTTGGGATTTCTGACAAAATGATTCTCCCAAATCATACCTTTTGGTCTCCTTTGTATATACCTTGCTTTGTCCTTGCAGGAATATTTTTGTTCTAGGATCCAGTGGTTTATTTAGGAATTTGCTTCCTTTGGGATCAAAATGTTCAAATTATTATCTTTCAGCCATTGAGAGAATCATAATAGCACAAATTCTTACCATTATTACATTATCTATTATCTCAAATGAAACAAGTACAGAATTGAGGGCAATTGCTATTGCAAAACCATTAACTTGGACTCCATGTTTGTATTATCCATGTTAAAAATTATACCGTTCAAGCAGTAAGTCAGTCAATTTGGGACCTTTAGTACAGAAATTACAAGAGGGCATTTTCTGGCAAGTTAATATAGAAAATGCTTTCTAGAGATGGTAATGTGAGAACTAACACAACTGTTATATAATTTTACCATAATACGCATACATGTAGTATGCCAATTTGCCTTTTACTTCGTTGACTCTAAAGCTCTGCTCCATCTTTTGTACTGGTTGTTTTTAGCAGCTATTGATATTCCTATTATGTTTGCTTGCCATGCTTTTTTATGCACCATGTAGCTGATGAATTATGAGAGCTAATACAGGAATATTGTTAAAGATCAAGGGCAACGAAAATGTTCAGGGATGATAGTTAAGAATCTAGTTAGAAGCTAACCTGGTTCTCAGACCATAAGAAGAATACAGTGTGTGTTTCTTTTCTCCCCAACTCTTAAAGGAGCCAAATATGCCTTCTTCACCAAAAGGTTAAAAAAAGCTTGAATCCATTTACTCAATGCCTCCTTGCCTTTGATTTCTGGAGTCTGCTAAATTCCAACTATCTTGGAATCAGGATCAAGCACATCCAAATGGATCTTTTAAGTTTACTTTACAGCACAATGGTCACATATAGAAAGAAGAATGAGGCACTTGAATGAGGTCAATTTATTTATGGGCTTAAGCTAATTAATAACACTTGAATTTAATATAACTGGCCTTTTCCTCATCTAGAAGTTATTTGCCATGGACTGTAAAAATATATCAACTGGAGACCTGTGAAAATAAAAGAGACGTGTCCTTGTTTGCAAGGGAAAGTTAAGAGACGCTCTCACAATGGAAAAGACATCTGACCAGAATTTTTTTTCCCATCCAACCAGGATTCAAATTGGATGCTGGTAAGCTATGGCCAGTTGTTTTTCCTGCTTAATCACATGTTGGCTCTAGAAATCGGGGGTCATTACTAGACAGTTAACCACATCTAGCAGTTTGAAGCAGTGAGCTTGTCTGCACACAAATATGGGGAAGGATGACACTTTTGACCATGTACTTACTTTGGCTATACATTCAGTGTCTGAAGATCTCTCCTATTTCTCAATCTGCTGCTGTGCTGCCAGTAACCTCAGATAACTTCCTAGCACAAAACACAAGAACTATTGCAAAGAAATACTGTAACTTAAGACAAGAACCAATTACTGATAGCTGTGGCAGCCTTCAACTTCTACAGTGGGGCTAGGATGCTCCTACAGCTCTGCTGCATTGCTGCAACAACCTCAGATGTAGATTTCTAATATTCTTTGTTCTTTGTATGTCAGAGAGTCTGTATTTACATATGAATGTATGTGGTGAGTACGTATGTTGTGTGGGTACATATGGGTATCCCACCCAGGTTAAATCATGGGGTTTCTATTTGGGTGATTGGAGGGGGGGGGAAATCCAAAGGGGAATAAAAAAAAGGGAGGGACTGGTTGGTTGGCAAGGTGAGGCCTCTACTGGGACCAAAATATTGTGCCTGTTACTGTGGTGATTTACTTTGGCAGTCAAAAATTGGTGTACAGTGGCCCATGCTTGTTGCTCTATACATATGATTATACAGGACATAATTATGCATAATATATTACACATGATGTACCAGAAGAGGTTGGTGTCCCAACTCTCTCTGGTTTTGGATGGATAGCTTTTCAATACACTGTAATGTTGCTTTGATTTGGTGTAGGCCTGAAGAGTGCTGAGCAGTACCACAACCAAATCCCAGCCATGACAATAAAGGAATGAGCATTGTTGAAAACAATCTCTCATTTATTTGCCACTCTCTTTTTTGCAGTAAAGTGGGGGGGGGGAGGGAGATGATCTTAGACCTGTTTATGACCAAGATCTTCCAATAGATTTCTATATTATGATTGGAGACAATATATAGCATTGAAGTAAATACATGTTACTGAAATAATGCATTCTAATTTGGAGAATTCTCTGTTTAACAAAATGGGAGGTAATCCTAAATTAACAAAACATAGGCTGGTTCCTCTAACTTGTTAAACTCTAAATGAGCTAACAAAATACAATTGCTGTATTCACTAAACATTCACCGTCTAAACAAACTATATTATAACTTAATGTGATGACCTAATTCCACTATTATGCTAAGACAACTTCTTGGTTCTCCTAACACAATACAATAAAAATCACCAACCCAATTTTAGCTGAATCTAGCATTTAATTAAGTTTGATAAATAGATTTAAGTTGTGAACTGAGAAAAATAATAAGCAGTGATATAAGAGGAAGCATTTTGTAATATGTGCATTCCAAAAGTTTACAGTCTAACAATTTTTTTAATTGTTTGTATTACATGCAGAAATATTTTAGGCTGCATCAAGTGCAATCAACAGAGAAGTATGGTGGATTGCCTTCTCAAGACATAAGTTTACCTATTTCATATACAGGTCTTCAACTTACAACTACAATTGAGCCCAAAATTTCTGTTGCTAAGTGAGATATTTGTTAAGTGAGTTTTGTTCCATTTTATGACCTTTTTTGCCATTGTTGTTAAATTAGTAACATGGTTGTTAAATAAATCTAGTTGCCCCATTGATTTGGCTTGTCAGATCGCAAAAGGTGATCATATTACCTCAGGACAGTGATGGCAAACCTTTTAGAGACCAAGTGCCCAAACTGCAACCCAAAACCCACTTATGCATCTTCGGGTGCCGGGTGGGTATGGCCCATTTGGGCGTGACTATGGTGGTAACAGCAGACTGGGTGGGACTAAAAAGTTCAATCAATTCCAACTTTGCAAGATCTTTTTTTTCCCTGCAAGAAGTTGAAATTGACTGATTGATTGAACCTTTTTTTTTTCACACGGCAGCAGAGGCCTCAAGCAAAAAGGTTTTATAAAACCCAGCTGAAAGCCTAGGACTGGGGCAACGGCGCGCATGCCCACAGAGAGGGCTCTGAGTGCCGCCTCTGGCACCCGTGCCATAGGTTCGCCACCACTGCCTCAGGACATGCACCCATCATAAATATGAGTCAGTTACCAAGCATCTGAATTTTGATCATGTGACCCTGGAGATGCTGCAATGGTTCGTAAGTCTGAAAAATGGCCATAAGTCATTTCTTTCAGTGCCATTGTAAATTCGGTCACTAAATGAACTGTTGTAAGTCGAGGACTACCTGTAATTGCTTTTGCATTGAGGGAAGGGAAGAGAAGATAGATTGGTTATAGAGGGATGCACACTTAACTGAGTCTGAAATCCTGCTGAAAAACAGTATGTAGAAGATTAAAAAGAACTGTATGCATGCCTTACTTAATACTGTTGTCCTTTCCTTTTAGCAGAATAATCCATTTGGTTTGCACTGTGTTTGCTTACTTCTTAGAGCAAAGCCAATCAATACATGATGCAACAAGGAGCGTTGTTGTCTCAATATGTTATATAGCCATAGACACAGGATTCAGAGGAGTCAGTAAAGTCAGTAAAGTGAGAAAGTTTGCTGAGGATAACAAGTTGTTTATTGAATAAAATAAAAAGAGATAACGTGTTCCAAAAGAATGACTCCAAACTGGAAGAACAAGGCAAATGCAATTTACAGCACAATATGTACCAGAGCACAACATTGAAATGATCTGTTGTGATTGCCCAGAAATGACATCATTGGAATGTGTTAAATAGCTTGAAAAATATTACAATACTTAAGAAATTAAATATTACATTTCTTTTGTAAGGAGATGGAAGACCTCACTTTCGTTTGTGATACCTTAGTTAGAATCCTGCCTTTACACATTCTCGTACATAAGGAAACTCATTATTTTACATATTCCATATACTATATTATACTGAAGAGCCATGGTGGCGCAGTGGTTAGAATGAGGACCCAGTTTGTTGGGGACAATATGCTGACTGTAAACTGCTTAGAGAGGGCTATAAAGCACTGTGAAGTGGTATATAAGTCTCTTTGCTATTAGTATTCAATACAAACCGATAAATCCTAATATTGTCTTGTTCCTTGCTCAGTAGAATGATTTTCTTTGTGAAGGCAAATATACGTGGCCCAGGGTAATGTTGCAGGATCCAATCTGAGTTGGTCACCGGGACCAGAAGTCCAAGCTTTCTGACTCATGCTGGAGACCTTCTTCAGGGAATTTCTCAATCTCCAGGATGTGTCTTTCTTTGCATTGTTGGGGCAATACTTAGTTATCTTCATTTTGCATTGTTGAGTAAAGCATTCATTTGCCAAGCCAATGCAGTCTTGAACAGACTGGAAAATACAATCCCTAGGTGATAGCAAAAGAGGTACTACTGTAAATAGGTAAACTTTTATTAAGATCTAGGAAAGAGTTTTCTTTATCTCTTTGCTCCCATCTAGTGGTCATTTGGAGTTACAGGTAGCCCTGGTTTTGAATCAGTTCAACCACTTATATCAAAATCGTTATACAGATATACAGGGTAAATACATGGGATAAATAAACTGGAATTTATACTTATACAGAAATCTGAATGGATGTTCATGCACTGCCATTTGATTCTCTTCCACCTCACCAATTAATAAGGGTCGAGGCTTATTGGGCTGTCCAGAGCCAAAATGGCCAATTTTAATTTATTAAAAAAACTTTTAATATAATAGCAAAGTAATGTTTTTGGATGTGAATTATAGAACAAAGCTCATTTTGCTAAATATAACATTATAAAATGGTGGTCATCAGAGAGCTTTTTAAGGTTTAAAGTGTTGTGCAAACATAATTTAAAGAAATTGAATCCATTCTTCATTGCTACTCTCATATGCAAGAGTTGAAGTAGGCATGCTTCTCAGATTTCTTGGAAAACTGTGATAAACAGAGAGGCAGAAGTTGACAGACTAGCTTCTAAAGAAGGTCATGATTTTTTTCTGGCTGAGAAAGAGTACCTGATTATAGAAAAAATAGCATCCAGCCTTCAAATCAGATTTCTACCTAGTGTCCCTGTTCAAACAATACCGTATGCTTAGCCCACTCAGAAAGAGCAGCAAACTCATTTATACATTTTTCTAATATTGGTTAAATTTTTCTGCTTTAGTGTGTTGTGAAAACCAAACTGTTTGGTTCAAATCTAGCTCACTTTATAGTGCATTAGAGTTTGGTGTAGTGGTTAAGATACTGGGCTAAAAATCAGGGAACTGTGAATTCTAGTTCACAGTATCTATATACATACAGAAACTCAGAAAACTGATTCATTTAATGACCAGGTTCAACAGTATTAGGTTCCCTAAACCTAGATTCTATATATCAAATCAAATAGAAAATATCATTTTCTATAATACATATTTAAAGGTCGTTCTGTACTGCAAATGTGGTGCTACGCAGATTAAAAAGTATAATTGGTGAAAATATATTTAGTCCCCTTAGAATTCAGGAATCAGGTCAACTGAGAAAAAATATATCTATTGAATGAACTGGTTCAAAATGGAATCAAACAGAATTCCTCCTTTTTCATATCGTAAATCCTAATGAAAGTTCTCACTTAATCAACAATCTCTTGGTTTGATTTGCTACTTTTGTGGGATTCTGGTTACATGCTCCAGTTACTACCCCGCAGGCAATTGAAAAGAGATAATGTTAGAATGTACCTAAAGCTAAAAATATATGAACAAATGCATAATAAAAATGCATTAAAAACCTTGCAAAATAAAAATTGAGAGTGATATGTTGGTTTCATTCACAAAACATATTTAATCTTACCAAATTATGCCATTTTTCTGGTTCTGTAGCAAGTACAGCTATATTCTCTTCCTCCTACCCTCTGAAACCTACCCTTACACAGGATCAGAATTATGACAAAGCCGTGCCTCAATTCTAACATGGTTGATTGTATAAAAAAAATCATTCCAATATTTAGTTGTACAAACAGGAACATAGTATTCCTGTCATGATTCCTTAGATTGTCTACCAGGCAACTCATGCCACTTTTGTGCTATGACTTAGCCTGAAGCCAGTGTGAAAGATGCATAAAATCAGTTTCATCCAAGAACTGTTAGAGTTATCTCCCTTAATATGTAGGTCACCATGGCAAGAAAAGGAAAATTTGACATATTAAAGCTATTCGGTATCAACCAAGAGAGAGTCGGATATAAAGGAGGAACACTGGGTAGAAAGACAAATAAGCATTCTGTCCACATCTCCAAGGTGCATAAAACAAATGTATGCAATAACACAAACGATGCACAGCATTATTCTTAACTCACATCCAACTTCTGCAAGGTTAATCTTCACCCTTCTTTTTTTGCTCCACATTAAAGTAGCATTTTCTTGCTGTGCTAAGCAGTCTGTCTGCCATGCTTCATTCCATTGTTGGCAATGTTTCTGCTCCAATTAGCTCATGTGCTCTGTGGTGGGAATGCCCTTCTTCTCTAGTCCTTGCTCTGCATGGTCATTTCATTCTGATAGGCTATCTGTGAAGAAAAACAGAAAGTTTGGGTTTTTTCATAGGTTCAACTAGCTTGCTTAATCTCCAATGGTTCCGAAGTAAATTAAGATACCTCACACACTTGGCAAACACTGCTTAAGAGCCTGCTGGTCAAGAATCAGATTATTCTAGTCTCCCACTAACATTTCAGTCAAAAGGTCATTCAGTAACTTCCCTCTAGCACACGGGTGTCAAACTTGATTGCGGAGCCGGGGCGGGCATGGCCTGCACATGACGCATCCAGCCCGCAAGCCGCCAGTTTGACACCCCTGCTCTAGCACATCCTGGGATTCCACCAGATCCAGAATATACCATGAGTTGGCCCTAAATCTTGCCTTGTGTCTTTGTAAGAATTGAAGCCGACCATATCACTCTTTCAGCTGGAGAGCTATCCATAACAAAAAGGCCGCTTTTGACTCCCAAAGCATGGATTATCATTATGGATGCTAAAACCAGGTTTACTTTAATGAGTGGCAGATATAATTTGAAATGGACCATGGTAATTCTGCAGTGGCAGCCATTTTGATCTAATGATTAAGGCACCAGGAAACTGTGAGTTCAAAGTTCTGCCATAAGACAGGATTAAAAAAAAAAAATAACTCCCTCTTGCCACCAGAATTCTTCAAATAAATTGGCTTAAAATGTTGAAGTCTCCTACACCAAACTCTTCAGAAACAATAACATTATTACCGGGATCAGATCCAGCAGTTTCAGCAGCAAAACTGTTGGGCACAGGAACACAAATGCCCATTTATCTTATTTTCCCAATCCAGTATCTCTTCTGTGGAGGTGGGATTAAAAATTGATTTTTCTGTTTTTGGCATAACTTAGTGCTTTAGAGAATGGGTACTTGATACTACCAATTTCACACCACAAATAGTGCTATCTATGATGGAATATTGGTTGACACAGAGAAGGGGGCAAGAATGTCAACTCCTTGCAGAAAAGGCATCTGAGTCCTGGGAAAATAGAAAACATGAGAAAGAAACTAAAAACAACTCCATCTTAGTTATCTTAATATATTTTGATATAAGGAATGGCTTTGAAGATTCTGATATAATAGTCTTAATGGCATTAAGGTACTTTTCACACTCTTAGATCATTTCCTGACCTTCCCTACTTTGAAGGGCTGACATTAGCAATCTAGGCTGCAAAGATCTGGATATGGCAAAAAAGAGACTGAGATTTTTTTTAACCAATCTCTGCCAGCCCTTCATAACTCATTCATTCATTTCTGAACCCTGACCTGCCCCTTAGGAAATGAGTGCCCAGCCTACTTTTATTATTATTAGATTTGTATCATCATGATCATGATTTTAGCCATTGTCTATCCCAGTGGTTCTCAACCTTTTTAATGCTGCGACCCCCAACCAGTCGTAAGTTGAGGACTACTCAACCAGTCGTAAGTCGAGGACTACTCAACTGGTGCAGCACCGTTTGCAGAATGGGACTTTGGCGGGCTCAGCAGGGCAGAGACAGCCTGGACAATTCCTATTGGCTTTTGAAAGCCAATAGAATTAGACTCTATTCAAGAGAGTCTATTCTATTGGCTTTCAAAAGCCAATAGAATAAAAGGGAGTAGCACAGCTAAGGAAAAGGGGGAAAAAAACGGTGGACTGCATTGTTTGGCGACCCCCGTGAAATGGTCGTTCGACCCCAAATGGGGTCCCGACCCACAGGTTGAGAACCGCTGGTCTATCCACTGCAGGATGAAGGCTTCTTTTGCACGTTTCCAACCAATACGGTCTCGAGCTTTCTTTTGCCAAATGAGCCTGCAATACTTGCTGATATCGTTGATCCATCTTGTTTTAGGTCTCTTGTGGATGCTTTTTATCAAGTGGGATCCATTCTATGACTGCCTTGGTCCACCTGCCATCAGTTCTTCTTGCTATATGATCAGCCCATTTCCATTGCTATTCTTTTACTCTCTTGATGACATCATATACTTTCATTTATTCTCTAATCCATATGCAGGTCTTTCTATCTTGTCTTGTAATGCCAAGCATGCTCCTTGCGCTACTGGTAGCTTTTGTATCGATTGTGAGATTCGTATCCATGTTTCACTGGCATATGTTAAAGCAGGTAGCAGACACTGATTAAAAACTTTTCAGGCATGGGGGAGGTTGTTCTTAAAAATTATACTTGACTTGCCGAATGCCTCCTATTATATATATATAATATATATAATTATACACCGTCTAGAGTCCCTCTGATGAACATGGGCAGTTCTTAAATATGATAAATAAAAATACATCTGAACAGTGTCAACTGAAACCGGCGATATACTTAATAGTCCTGCTTTCTATTTTCCCCACAACTCTGTGAGGTGGATTGAACTCACAGTGACTGGGGGGGAAGTCGCCCAGCTGGCTTTTATGAACGTGCCATGCCAAAGCAGTGTGGGCTGAATCAATCCAATAAACCATGGCTCAGTGGATGCCCTGATTAGCGTATTATGCGGACATAACTGCAAGAAACGGAGGTGAATGGAGAGTCGATTCGGACAGTCTAGCAACCGGACCGTAGCCAATATCGAAGCGCCTCATTTCTGCCACCAGCAGGAGAAAACTGGGCACCGAGCAGAGTTTGCACGTAACACCCAGAGACTTTGCACTCGGGTTCCAACAGGGAGTCACTGCGCAGCGGTGCCTCCCCAGACGGTGAAACGCATCCCAAGACTGCGCGCATGCGTAATATTAGAAAACTACTCAAGACAAGCCAAACCTATGACATTGGGTGGAAGGCCACGACTATGGCGTTTTTCCTTGTCACCAGCATGACGCATGTGCATCTCTTCCTCAACGCCTTCTTCCCGGCTGCAGGGCGGAGCTGCCTGTCAAGAATTTCCTTTGGCTCCACCTCCGTTCTGTTTCCTACATGGGCAGTGGGCGGGATTACGCGGTCAGTTGGCGGGCAGGCTGAGGAGGAGGAGGAGGAGGGAGGGAGGTGGAGGCACTGTCACGTGATTACTGTAGGCTTCCCAACATGGCGGCTGGGGTAGCTGCGAGCGTTGCAAGACTCAGGATTTAAGTAGCAGCAGAGGCCAACCCTTCCTTCTCTTCCCCCTCCCACGGCAGAGACCCCGCACCGGCCTCGGACACGCCCCCTCCCCTCGTGCCTTCATTCATTCATTCATTCCATCGGTTGTTCGGCTCTTGCCAGTACCCAGCTGCCATGAGGGAAAAGGGCCGCAAGAAGAAGGGCAGGACCTGGGCAGAGGCCGCCAGGACGGTACGCAGGGTTGGGCTGGGGCTGGGGGGACGGAATGGGTGTCACCAGTTACTTTTCTCTCTCTTTGAGCGCATTCGTCACTGTTAGGCAGTCTTCTTTCAGGCAGTGGCCTCTGAAGCGTTTGGGCTTCAATTCCCACCGTCCATAGCCTCCATGTTAGCTGCAGGTGATGGGAGTTGTAGTCCAGCAATTCTGGATGGCTGGCAAGATCACAGTAAGATGCAAGGAACTCTTCTCCTCCCCCCCCCCATCTCCTCGCGCCGCCCTCAATCTTTCTACTAAAAGGAGTTTTTAAAGTGTAAAATGATTAAACCCCTGCCTCTATTTCTGTGATCTGACAGTTGGAATGGGAGAACAGCTGTTGCTTGCCAAATACTCCATCTTCTTCGGAGAAACTGGTAACTGGTAATCTTTGTTGTAGAAAAGTCACATTTGCTTTCAAGACTAGCAAAGATCTCTTGGCATATTTTCAAATGGCTGATCTTTTATGTCAGACATACCCATATTCCTCCTTGTTTTCCAGTAAACAAAAGCTAGCTCTTGAAGTAACTGCTGGAGAGACATTAATACTAAAGTTTTGGCATTTATACATCTCATTTAACTTATTTATTAAATCTATATGCCATCCATCTTACCATCAAGCGATTCTCAGCAACGATTTGTAGTTAATTCTGGGTAAAATACACTTTTGTGTTTCCAGTCTTGATGATAACATAAAATGTCATATAAACTTCATTTTAGTAAACAACTCTTAATGAGAAAAGTTACATATACAGCCAAGGAAGGAACTGTAGTTCATTGGCAGAAGATTTGCATTGGGTAGGGAAAATCCCAGATTCTGTCTTACATTGGCTGGCTTAACAAAGAGCTCTAGTCTTGAATAGCTACTGTCAGCTAGTGTAGATAGGGCTAATCTAGGTGAAGTAATTTTGACCAAGAAAGCTTTCTGTGCTTGTCTGCAAGCTACATGGATTCATCATTTGTTCTGTTATTTAGTTAATAATGAAACAATATTTTAGCACCTTTGTATTATCAATAAACACTATCCATGTCCACATTAGTCATGAAAGGATGGGGAAACATTAATTTTCCCCGATGTCAATCTGTGCATATAAATTGTTTATTTATGTATTCATTCAAACAATTTATATAGCCACCTGTCTCACAAACAAGCAGCTCTGAATGGCATACAGCTAAAAACAATTAATAGTTACATATTTAATATTTTGTGCAAATTGTCATAAAAGTCCTAGCTCTTTGTTTCTGCTGAAAAATAAATCTAAATTGTATACAAACATAAACACATCCACACTGTTAGTAGAGAATGTGGGGGACATTAATCTTTAATATCAAAAATAAAATAGAGTGTTTTTTGTAATGTGGAAACTTCAAGCAGACCTTTTTTTCTTTCCTAGATTCTAATTATGAATGCTTTTAAGTCACATTTGAATTTAGGCTTGCTCATACTGAGTATCCAGGAGTTAGCCTTAGCTTTATTGATAGTTTATATGCTGGTTGTATAATGCCATTTTGTTAGAAATGTTTCACTAAGGTGGTTGCATCCTGTTTTTCTGTAAAAACAAACATATCAGTGATTTTTAGGTATGGTGAAGTATGTTCCTAAATGAAAACATTTTAAATATCGTCCTACAAGTTCAGACTTCAGTAAAAAAAATCCTTTGCAGTTTATTGTTATAAGAAACAATGGCCATTTTTATTTGCTTGTTAGATTGATATTCTACCTTTTGTTCACGAATTCAAAGCAGCTTTGAAATAAAATCCTCATACTGTTAAAATCTTCCGATAAAGTGTACTGTCTGAGTCTATATAAATGGCATAGAAGATCTGTAATTAATTTGAATGTTTCCATAGTTGAAGACTAGATGTTTAAGATAATATCTACATACTCTTCAATTGGGCAAAATGTTGCATTGTAGGGCAACAACTTTTGAACCAAAAAACTTCAAATGGGCTACAATTTGAGGCTACAGAATACATACAAATACTGGAGCCCATGACTCTTGTGGAATTGTAATTTAACAAATTTTATAATACAATTTATGACATAATACAAAATGTTACAAAAAAATTCCTGTGATCAATGCTTGATGCTTGACTCTGCTAGACAGTTCAGCGTGGGGAACTTTCAAGGCAGATACATCTCTGAATATCTCCCTGAATTTTTAAGAACTTTTTGAGTACATTAGAAGCTCTGCCATTGTTGAAGGCATTGAGGAATCTAATAAGGAAATACCTCTGAGACAGTGACCTAATGGGTTGTCTAGTTCTATATAACTATTATCACCTTGTTCTGTACCCCTACAATATGTACAGAACACTTGTCATTTATTTTATCTGGAAAACAAATTCCAGATAAAATACTGGAATTCAACTTTATTAATATAGACTATAGTAATAGAATCTTTAAAACCTGGCAACATTTTCCTTTTCCTCCCTCTAATGCCAAAGAGAGTTAAGACAAGCGAGTTTAAATTCCTACTGCTTCCTTTCCTGGGTTAAACTCATCTTTGGTAACTGATGCATTCCATCTGCAAGATTATATCTATGCTTCTCTATAGCTATGTAAAGAAATGAATTTTGGGGGCTCTTACGTATCTGTTGAAATGAATCCATTGCTGTTATTTCTTTACTAGGTTCAATTCTGTGACCAGCGTTTATGTAGGCAAAAACCACAAGTGTGCTTACATATTGCTTCTTTTGTGTGCTATGGAAATTTTTGATTTTTTTAAATCATTCCCTTGGCAATTTTATATAGGTTGGATAGTAAGCAGTAGCATGGACTATAAGCCTACCTACTTTGGTAGCCCTTTCAAAACTATGGGGTAAATACCTTATCTCAAATTTCCATTGTTCCCTTGGCAGAACAGTCAAAATATTTTGAGTTTCATTCTTTCTAAACACTTGATACATGAAATATGAAATGTTTTAATGGAACACCCTGAATAGGATTGTTTTGTTTGAGTTTGGCACAAAGCATTTGTTTATTTTGTGCATACCCATGTGATGATGTCTTTTAGATGATTTGAACTGATTTTTGACATAAGATTTTAAACAGGGTGTGTATAGGAGGAGGAGTAGCAGAACCTGGGGGTAGAGTTAAAAGAGCAATCAGTCTAAAATCCCTACATAGCTGCAAGAGAACTAAATCCCATCTCCCTTGAATTCTGTTAACTGTTTCCAATCTGTGCTAACCATTAGTTGAGAAAATTCCTGTGCATAGACATGATTAGCAATCACTTTAATTGACTTCATTTATGAACCAGATCTGCAATCCACCTTCTTTTCAGTGCTGCATCTGGTATAACTTCTCTGACAGATATGACTATCCTGCTTGTGTCTGAAGACTTCCAGCAAATGGCCATTCACCACTTTATGTAGCAATTCAGTTCACTGACTGACAGCTTGTATAGTCAGGAAATTCCTCCTGACTAAATCCTAACTTTTAACCTTTCTCATTGTAGTTTTAATCCACTGGTTCTGGTCCTGTTCTATGGGGCTGTAAAACATATGCACATATTTAACATCCTTTTAAATATTTGAAGACTGCTATCCTATCCCTCCACTATTGTTTCCTGTGAACAAAATAGATATATGTTTCTTCATAAAGCTTGATTCCAGACCACTTGGTAGCCCCTTCTGAATTCTCTCCAATTTGTCACTGTTCTTTTTAATCCAGTATTCCCAAGGTAGTTTGGTCAGAGCAGGTGTTCTACACTTCCTGTAATCTGGACTTTAACCTGCTGTGAATGCAACTGAAAATATAATTTCTATATTCACAGCTGATCACTTTATTGATTCATGTTCATCTTGTGGCGTACTCAAATATCAAATTCTTTTCCAGTTTGTCCTTTTATCAGGTCGCTAATAGAAATGTTGAATAATACAAAGAATAGACAAAATGCTGTGGCATTCCACTCCATACTATTCTTCACACTATTTGAAAGCCATTATGAATACTCTCTGGGTGTGGTCATTTAGCCAATTATGAATCTATTTGCATCATACAGTAGAGGCCATGTTTTAGCATTTTGTTAATGTGGATATCAAGAGGCTTTCTCGAATGCTGTGCTGAATTCAAGGTACACTGTTGACAGCATTCTCTGATCTATTAAACCTGTGGTACCGTCAAAAAAGAAGGTAACGTTAATTTGGCTAATCCATTGTACCTTTTCTTGTATTATTTTCCAAATGTGTATGCATATGTTGCTTTATAATCTGCTCAGTATAGATATCAAACTGACAGGTCTGTAATTTTTCTGGACCTGCTTTCTTTTATTTTAAAGATAAAAACATTTGCCATTCACCAATTTTCCAGGAGTTTTCAAGCATTGTATTTAGGGTTTTGTGATCATTTCCTCTAGTCCACTGATGGCGAAACTTTTAGAGACCGAGTGCCCAAAAACTGGCCCTGCCCCTGCTCCACCCCCTGCCCTGCCCCCACTCCAACCCCTGCCCCACCCCTGCCCTTCCCCCACCCCGTCCCCAACCCCACCTGCCCGCAGGGCCACTCACCGCCTCCAGGACCCACCGCAGATCGCCCAGGCAGCCCAGCAGCGCCATGGCCACGCCCTCTGCCCACGCCCCGCAGCATCAACTGCAGGATGGGGCATGAGGGCAGAGTCTTGTCTACACTGCCTGGCTGCCATGTCCTTGGCTGTGCTGCTCCATGTAGGCCACGCTTGGGGGCGACTCTCCTCCAGGGGGGCTGCTGGTGAGGAGGGGGTTGTATGGGGAGGTGAGGCTGGGGCAACGACACATGTGCCCACAGAGAGGTCTCCGAGTGCTGCCTCTGGCACGCGTGCCATAGGTTCACCACCACTGCACTAGTCCCTTCAGTACGTTAGAAGCTAATTCAACTGATTCTGGAGAGTTCATTTACTTTCTCTGAGTTTTTTTCCTTCTGTCCTTCAGTTTCTGCTTGTGGCACTCTGCTGCAATTAGTGCTTCATTTTCTATTTGAGAGAAGGCACACTAAACAT